ATGCAATTTTTTCGCCCAATCTTTACGCTGCTTGTTTTAACATGCGCGTTACTTATCATTCTTAAATACCAAATTCAACAAGTTAATCTTCAGGTGTTCATGCAATTTTCATTCATTGTTTAAAATCTCTTTTGGGGCAAGATATTTCACTCAATACTTTTATCAAATTCCGAAACCATGTATATTATCGCTACAAACATGCAAAATATTGGCACGGTAGACGGGTGATGATCTTGACACAAAATTTGAAATTTGAAATTTCATGAAACACGAAATTACATACTTCCGTTGCTGTTTGCAAAGAGGAAAAACAATTTTCCATTAAGAAAAAAATCTTACGCACTTTAAATTAATTGTTTTCTGAGTTGCATTTTCTTAACATATAAAATGAAAGAAATTTTCGCAATTAACTGTTAATAATTCTCCAAATATAGCCATCTTCAGACTCACCGCTACGAAAACCTCAAATCCTACATACTGCAAAACCATTACGTACTTGTAGCACCATTTGATCATCGTAAGTCGAAACTTATAGAGTAAAAAATTCATTTTAATATTTATGTCTTCTAATCTCTGTATTACTACGTAGATAAAATTATGTCGCCTGGAAAACTGATTGTTTCATTTTCTAAAATGACTGGCTTCTGGATTGTAGCACCTTCATCAATCAGAGCGATGACGAAGACAGAAAAGACCTCAGAAAAGTTGGTTTTTGCCAGACTACGGCGCTAAAGCCAAGAAAGACTCACAGCCATAAGAAAAATAAATCATGTTCTATTTCCTCTTTATATTATTCTGTATATTTTATTTGTTTATTCCCTCTCATTCATTTTCTGCGTATCAATATGTAAACACAAATATAACAAAAGATTTGTGAAATTAAAATCACTATTCGAAGAACATTATTATTGATAATGTAATGCTTTCAAATGAAGGCAGCGCAAAAGTGAATATATTTAAAACGACGATTAATAAAATTAAATATAAATCATTATATATAATAGAAGGTCTTTATAAACATTTAAGTAAATATACCCAAACCATCATCGATTCTGTAGGCCCAAAATATTCAAAAGCATTTTTTTTTCCAGCATTACCCACCGGTCAAGAATACGACGGAGTCATCTGGGGCTGATGTTTAAGAAGGGCATGATATTAGGCCTGGAAAAGAAAGGGAAAAGGGTGCTTCCGGAGCACGAGAAAATTATGGATATATGTTATTTACAGATGCGGGGAAATCTGGCGAGCTTGCAACGAGCATAAGCATTGAGCAGAACGTCATTTGGTGTTCCGCATCTTCGGAATTCGCGTAGAGACCACGCCTTACAACTCCAGTGTGTCATCTCAGCATAGCTTTAAAAAATTTATAGTTCGGGTTACTATTTAAATGTTTACTGAACATGCAAATAAATATTTAAATCTATTTATAAATAAATTTATATATATATTTATTTATTTCTGAGGTATTATTAATTTATGTAAGATTTGAGGTTTTCACAGCGGTGAGTATGAAGATTTCTGTCTTCTGGGTTGTTACGCTGTGTAGTATGGTAGATGTTTACCAACGTACTGCCTCCGTCATCATTTTAAGGCTCGACTATGGCAGCCTGATATGTCGTAATTTCGCAGTTTTTGTAGGTCTGATACAAAATTTTAATTTTTCACAAATCAAGGTGATGTTAGAATAAATGGTAGTACACCCCCATACGTGTTTCCGTTATTTCACAATTTCAGCTACCTCACAGAATACCATAGGAAAATTTGTTTTCTGTACAAAACAGAAAGCTTATTTCGCTTTTAAAAATGTAACTTAACATATTATCAAATTATTATATCGGATTATATACCAAGGGATCACCAGACATTTGCCACCGCTGGATTAGCATAATGATTCAACAAACCCTAAAAGCGTAAGACATTAAAAATAGACAAAATGCCTTTGTTACATCTGTTTGTATCGAGAACTGTCAATTAGTCTACAATAACGTTTTAAAAAACTTCCATCCTCTTTAGTTAGATGAATTTTATCTACTCAGACTTTAAACATGTTCCAGGCTGTATATTGTTAAATGAATAACAATTAGTTTTCACAGATATAAATACTTTATTTGAATCTTTGTTGCAAGCAATTTCTCTACGTGTGAATATATACCGAAAAATGGATGTATTGTAATGGAAAGAAACGTAAAACATAAAAAATAACTAAAGCGTTTTAGTAAATGAAAGCTTTTTAGATACGAGGTCTCGAACGGACGCGTGTTGTGTCTCAGCTTCCTATCAGAGTCTTAATGTAAGACAATCATGACGGTTACAATATCGGCGTAACTCTGGGCAGATAAGACATCCGATACGCATCCGCAAGCATCCAGTGTCTGCATCCGCTGTTCAAGTTTTGCTCTAATCGTCAGTGTCCATTCCTAAATAGCAAACTTACAAAGTAGTCCGTGAAACAGTACAGAAACATTTAAAAACAGGGCGAGTCTTTGGAAGAACTTTACCACAGTCGCTTTAAACCATTGCCTAAAAATCTTCTGAACAAACAACAATAACTACTAAAAATAGTATTTAAAGAAATAATCTAGATTTAGCAACTGTCGGAAATTATAGGCTAAAAGTCGAATTCGATTTACAACAATTTGTTTTTGTTTCTGAGTTTTAAAACCAGCATATAAATATGATAAATAAACACACGGTCATCTGAAATAGTAAGAGTATTTGTCAGATCGGGCTATCTGATAAGAAAAATCTCAAAAACTGATCCATAGGATAACAGAATATTACTGAATAAATTTTCCACATTAAGATCTTTTATTTAAAACAATTCCACAAAGAATATTAATAAAAATCTACTTCCGTCTTTTTAACAAATATAAGAAGTAAATGTTTTTTACAGCTACAAATCGCTACGCAGCTGTCAACCAAACTCGAGCGTCTTACAAATAAAACACACCAAAAACACGAGCTTGTTTTTTTCTAACCGAAAACCTTCTTCGAAATTTATTCCCCTGTGATTTCTTTTATACGACCCCTCGTGTAATCGCGTGTATGGGTTTCTTCCATTTTTATTTCCCTGGACATCTCTTTATCTCACCTGCATTTTACCCCCAACATTCAGCCTACCTGCACCTCAATCTCACCCCGCCCTTTCTGCCTACAATAATACACATGTGTTACAGCACTCACCCCCTTTCTTGTTTCTTTTTCCTTCTGCAATTCCTCACCTGCTCATTCAGTGGGGCCATCTGCAGCAAAGAAAGATTCATTACTTGCATTCTGCTTCAAATTCCTTCAAATACAGTAAGATTTAATATTGCTACAAATTACGTAAAATTATTTTAAATTGTATTTATTCCTGTGAACAACCGTCAATTTATTTCAGCTGGTCGATTAAAGCATCACATGCCCTTTCTCCACGTATCTTCACAACTTAAATAAGAGCTTTATTGCCGTAAAATTATAATTTATTTTATTACTTCATTTATTTTCCTATATGAAATTTTTTTGGTGTAACAAAGGCTACTGAATCGTTAGTTTTTCTTTTGACTTCAAACATACCACTATATAAATAAAATAAATATATATTTCTACAACGTGTAAATGTCTGAAGAAAAATTCGAAGTAATAAACTCGCAATTTCGTATTTAGAAAGTATAATATCACTAGCTCCTTGTGACTGATATTTCAGGAAAAGGCAACTGACGATATAACTTTCACTCGCCGCAAATTTACCTGTTTACAGTTTTCCAGACATCGTCATAAATTAGTTCAATAGCATTGCCTACAGACGACGATGCTAAGAAAATGAGATAGTTTTCCTTAGTCGCTGAAAAAAGAGAGCAGACAGCCTAAACTCCCTGAGATAAATTAAGCACACCTGCTGGATAAACTCCAGATAACTTTATAGTAGTTCTACTTTTTAGACTATTATTCATAACTGCACACTTTATGAGAATTCGATAGTTTTTATAGACTAGGAGTACGCAAATTTAAGGCATATTATTCGGATCCTGATATTTCATGAACGCAAATCAAATCTTAAAATGACCTATGATTATTGGCGTGACAGAAAATTATTTTATGGTTTACAGATAAATTTTTAAGTTCAAACAAATCTTCTCAAGTCGGATTTGAAGCTATTAGGCGGTGAGTCTGAAAATGGCTGTCGTCTGGTCTTTCGCGCCTCGTATTCTGGTAGAAGTTGACCAACGTTTCAGAGGTGATCACTTCCTCCATCATTAAGGTGATGGCACCTACGAAACTTCGGTAAACTGCAATCAGACTACACGGCGCATATCGAAGAAGTTTCTTAATTGCAACCACCAATTTTCTATGAAGGAAGTTAACCGAGCTGTCTCTCTGTGTACTCACTTTTAATTTATGAACCAATTTACTGATTATTCTGAACTCGGTGTAAACATTATTCCGCTTTGGCCACCCTAGTCTCGTACTCTTTAATTTCCTACGATTAACAACATGGCGGGCGCGCAAACTTGTGAGATCGAAGCGACATTAGAGATACTAGGGTCCTGAAATTATGTATGGTAACAGGTCATTAAAGAATATAAAACTTCTGTAGAGATAAGTTTTCTGTAGAATACAAAACAACAATATTGTGGCTGTCAATATGGAAGCAATAACTAGCAAACCATTAGAATAAAGCATTTCAGAGTTTACGTGGTGATAGATTATGAAACATAGGTTAAGATAGTCGATCTCTGAGTCAAAATGTCCCAAATATTCTTGCTATTGACGTAATGAACCGTTGCATTAAATAAGGGCGGAGATATTCTTGACTAACGGAGTGACCATAAGCTTCTCGAGGACAACTCTGTTTCATGGAATTAGTGAGTTAGTTGTTTTGGGCCCAAGTGTTCTGTGTTACCGGACAAAATGAGGAAATGAGGGTTGCCGATTTCCAGGCAAAGATTTAAACACAACACTTCCTAGAAACAAAGTATGAGAGTGTGTCTTTCGGCTGCAACGTTCAGTAAAACTTATCGTCGTGTTGATCAATGTTTGGAAAAATACAGAAACGTTGCCCTATAGAATGACACAAAATACCCTTAAAAGACCTATTCTTCTCAATTAATTCTGCTTAGAATTTTCATAAGAAATAATGTACTAATAACATGCCTCCCCTCCATGATACGAGGTGCGATCGGAAGGTTTCCAGACTGCGCGTATAAAAACCCGTACACTTATCTCAGGTATTAAATTCATCCATCACCCTCGAAGTAGTTCCCCTGGGAGTGAACACAACGA